AGGAATTCTGGCAGTTGAAGTCCACAAGTCTTAAAGTGGCCAAGGTTGGGCACCCCTGGTTTAAACCTTCCTATCGGTCGCTGGAATTAGTGGGGGTGAGGGGGGGAGAAGGGGGGGTCTTTAATGAAAGTTCCACAAGCGATTCTCTTTATTTTTACCTAAATCTGAGCTTTTTTCGCCCAAGAACAGTCTGCCCGTCGTAGTAGTCTGGTCGAGACAGATTTCAGCAGAACTGGAGATGCTCCAAGGGATTCAGGGTCTTTCCTACTAACCTGGAAGGCACCACCTGTCCTTTAAACAGGGGTCTCCAACCTTGGCCACTTTAAGCCTGGTGCACTTCAACTCCCAGAATTCCCCAGCCAGCAAAGCTTTAGAAGCTAACATGGAGGACTGAGGGTCATTTCAGGATGGAGATGTCCTTAACGATTAGGGTTAGCCTTGAATGTTCTTCTGCAGGCGGCGATCGTGTATTTGCATGTGTGCGCTCCCGTGTCAACGTTTATATGTATATGTTCTGCTGTGGCAGAAACTCAGGAATGGCTTGAAGAATCTGAGTCGGATGAAGATGTGGAAGGTGCTGAGGGAGGAGAGGAAGAGGAAGAGGATGAAGAAGAGGACTCCGATGAGGAGGGGAGTGGAGAGGACGGTAAGGCCACTAAAAAACCCTGGACAAGGATTCAGTTCCTCACCGTTGGGTTTTGCTTGGCTGTCGTGGGTCAAAGCTACATGGGGATTCTTTGGTGAATAGTGGAAAATGAAAAGCAGCCAGAACAGGGCTCCCCAGCTGGTCATTCTCCAGAAGCTTCCATTCCAGGCACGTAATTTGGAGTCTCACTATTCCTTGGGAGGGTGGCAGGTTGGAGAATGGGGGTCTTTGGTCTTTCAAATCTGTTTTATACAGAAACGGGTTTTGAAACCTATTGCTGAACGTTGGAAAGGTTCTTTTCACAATTCAGCTGAATTTCTGTCTAGATTTCAGCATTGCCATCCAGACTGTCTGCCTTTTCCTTTCTCCACTAGCACGGCATAAAGGAATAGCCCCGAGTTCCTAAATGTTCTTTAAAAGTCCTTGGAAATATCAGAGAAAGGAAATTCTTCCTCCATAGCCCAGTTGTGCCTTCCCTGCCTACCACTTGTATCTCACCCCCATGCCTGTTCTTCAGTGTAAATCGGGTAAATAGATGGATAGATCAGACCAAACCCTCCTGAATATCCACGCAGGCGAGGGCTGCCCTTGACCCTAACAGATCCCCAAAAAAGAGAATAGGACACCATCAGGGGGACAACTGCTTCCTAGTCTTTGGTTCTCCACTGAGCACGTGTTTTTTCCTTCCTTCAGACAAGGAAGAACACCCAACTGTGCAACAGGATGAAAAATTTGCCGACTATCTTTCCAGGACAGAGCGGTACTGGGTAAATCTGGCCCGCCAGAACCTGGGCCCTGATGCCAAAGAGAAGAAGACGGTGAAGGTGGGGCAGGCCATGGCCAAGGCGTTCTTTGAAGGTGCCACCTAGGCAAGGCTTACGATGACTGGGGCCAAAAGGTTGTGCTTGGCCAATCCTGTCCCTCACAAGGCAGGGCCTGACTTGAGAGTTGATTGCAGAGAAAGTCTGTGTTGAATAAGTTAACTTCGCTTAAGGATTTGAGGAGAGCAAAAAAACCTGACATACGCCGAGAAAAATCTGACGTTGTTCTTGATAGGCGTAAGCCAAGGCAACGTTTTGAGGGACGGGCTTTCTACGGGGTTTAATCCTTTGCAGGCAGGGGGATCTTTACAAGATTCAGGGTCCCCAGGAAGGTCCATCTCTCAATGTTGTGTTGTGAAGCTCGGTCTGTCAGAGAGCCACAGTTATTCCTCCTTCTCCTGAGCATTTCTGGGTTGTGGTGGTGAACGCCTGGAGGATTTTGTCGTGGCCCGGTGCGTGTATGGTGAACCTAAAAGAGAAAGGAGTATGTACGTAGAAAACAGAAAACCTTTTGAGGGTGAGCGGCTGGGATAATACCTTGAATGTCTAACCGAAGCCTCAACTGACGTGGAGGCAGTCATGAGGCTGGAAGCTGGAATTCGCCGTTTGAAGAGAGTTTACCAATAAAAATGCTTTTTGCTGGTGAGGGCGGCATTTTTTTATTTAACGAGTCGTTTCTCTCAGCAGGATGTGTCAAGTCCTTGCGCCTCTCTCTGCACTATCATTAGTGCTGTTGAAAAAGTCAGCTTGGGTGGGGGTGGAGCGAGTCTTCTCGTGTCTTCTTCGTCCAGGAGCACATCAGTAAGGAGACTGTGGTTATGGGGGAAGGCCTGTAGTGGAGGAAAGGGGCTTGGCTGCAAACCCCCTTAGCCTGGAGCTCTTTCCATGTGCAATTCTAACCCCCTTTGCGATCTTTATTTTTTTTTTAAAGAAAGAAAGAAACTGGAGACCTCCCAGAAGTTGGCCTCCAAATCCTGTCAGCCCCAACTCACGTGGCTAACAGTAAATGGTGGGAAGGGGAGTCTAACAGCGTCAGGGTCAAATGCTCAGGTGTTTGCTTTCTTTGCTCAAGAGAGAATGAAGGAAAACAGGTTGATAGCAACCTTTCTCAACTGCTTCTCTGCATGGACTGGAGACCCATAATTCACAGCCAACAGATCTGGAAGACTGCCATCTTGACCAGTTTTCTGGGTAGTTCAGCCATGATCTTCCAGGTGTTGCCCAATGGCAGCTCCTGGCAATACCTGCCAGCGTAGATAATGGGAAAAGATGGAGATGATTGGAACAACTTTCCTAGCTGCACAAAAACCAGATGGGAGACAGAAGACCCTCTCAGTTTAGGCAATAGAACTGGGACACCCACTGGGTATGGTCAAAAAAGTCAACATGGCGGCCAAGAGCGCAAACAAAGCTGTGTCCTAAAGGTGCTTTTTTCGGGAGGCAACTGGACGTTCTTATTTTTTCTTTGCAGACGTTTTGCTTCTCATCCAAGAAGCTTCTTCAGCTCTGACAGGATAGTGGGGCATGGAAGGATTTATGCTCCTTGCAGACAGCTGGTCCTTTACATCCTTTTAGCGAGTTGTTGAGGCCACTTGGAGGTTTATCTATGTCCTCAGGGTCACTTGAGTGGTGCTCCTGGTTCCTGTAGTCTGCAATTTCTTCCTCTGGAAAGCCATCCCTACTCCCTCACCATTCCAAGGGGGTTCATCCCAAATTGCGTAGCTAAAAGACCCTCCAAAAGAATGCAAATGACCGGTTGTCTGCAAGGTATATAAATCCTTCCATTCCTCACCAATCCAGTCAGAGCTGAAGAAGCTTCTTGGCTGAGAAGCGAAATGTCTTCAAAGAAAAAAAAAATAAACAGTCCAGCTGCCTCCCGAAAAAGCACCTTTGGGATGACCAGGACCTGGGGGACTGAGAATCGCTACAGGCTTTTAGAAACAAAGCTGTGCATTACACCCAAGTGAAGGTCCATTGGATAGGAATGAAGATTTGTCTGGGCTTTTAAGATGCAGCGCGCATGAAAAACAGCCAGAACTTCGATTGAGGGTCCCAGCTGTCTTCTTGCCCCACCTGAAGACAACTCAACCAATATTGTGGCTGCCCCCCCCCCATATGATAGAAACTCAAAGGGCACCGTTGCATCCTTAGTAAGGAAGGCGTATCTTTAGTGAATGAACAAGGCAGAGGAAACCCACCTCACACACACACCCAAAGTAAGAAGGAAAAGAAGAAAGAACAACGCAGGCATCTTATAAAGATGTTTTGAACCATACCAAAATTAAGTGATACATAGAGGAGAGAAAACAAATTATAAAAAGAGCATTACATACTCAGAGGCTGTTGTTGACAATGTTTTCGTTGTTGTTTTCATTGTTGTTCTCTAGTTTTGGTTTTGGTTTTTTTTTTTCTTTTCCTTTTTTTTTTTGTACAGGGATTATGTCGGAAGCTGGAATATACATCCTGCAGACAAAATGCAAAACTATTACATGCTCCGAGGCCAAGCGGGACATCTGGAAATGGCTCATGGCAAGATGGAAGAAGGGATGCCCGTCGTGCCCCGTTCCTCGCGGTGCCACGGTGGCTCTTGGGGGGGGAGGGGGGGACACATTCAAGCATCGTTCCCCACAGAGTGGGGGGGCCCGGCTCCTTGGCAATCTGGAGGATGCGCTTCCTGGATAAACCTTGGTCATCTTTCACAACAAAAGAAAACCTTTCTGGGTCTATGTTAAACACCTGCTGGAAAGGATGAAAAAACGTGTTGAACGAGATTGAAAAGAAAAAGGAAAGAAAAAGAGATTGTGCAGTTTATAGATACAGGATTTTTACCTGAGCCTCAGCATCCTGCAGGTGACTTTATGCAAAACTTTGGTAAGACGGGTGGCCGATAAAGTTTAGAAATAAATAACGTAAATAATTTTCTATTGTTGCCTGGGGCAACGAATGATTTTAACTCATTGGGTAGAAAAAAATATTTTGGAGGAGGAGGAGGAGGGCGAAGGCCTTAAGACTCTTGTGCTGGATATGGCTGTTTAAATGATTCAAGAAATGGTTCTCCGCCATCGACATCACCCTTTGAGTGCCGCCTGCTCGGGCCGTTCTCTGTTTTGGCCGCTCACACTTTCCCAGCTCAATGCGAACACTGGGATTTTCTCAAAGGACGCCACCGTGCACCTCACCAAGCAATGCCAGGACCGCCACATTTCTCCAAACGTTGCCTTGAACTAAGCGTCTGAAGATGGAGGCAATTCACATGGGACCCCTTTCCTGGATCTGGCTAACTCCACGCGGAGGAGGAACGCTTTTCTCCGTCCTGTCTGGTGCTGGGAGGGGCGGGAATGCTGCTGCTACCATTCTGCCATGCCACACAGCAAAAGGATTGTGCAAGCAAAGAATTTTGGGCTGAAATCCAAAAACGTTACCTAGGAAGGGGACGGGGTGGGGTGGCAGGGGGGAAAAAGGCAAACTGTGAGTGAGACTCAACCCATGGTGGATCTTCTGTGAAAAGACTGGAAAGTTGTCGCGGGACAGTTCAAAACGACGGCATCGTTCTCCCGTTGGGTCTCTCGCAGCATTATCCCCATTTTCAAACCGCTTGGGGGCGGGTTTTTTGTTGTTGTTGTTTTTTTATTAATTAATTATTAACCGGTTGGAGTTTTGCAAACAAGACAGTCTCGGTTTAGATGAAAAAGTTAATAAACAAAATGGCGACTCCAATGTTTAACAAGATCACCATGACGACTAGGATGGGAGCTGAACCCTGAAACAGAGGAAAGAAAAAGAGGGAGAGGATTATAGGTGGACCCCCAGATCATGGTGATCAGATTAATGGGGAGCAGGGGGAGAGAGAGGTGGTCAATGTCTGCTGGAATTTCCACATCTCAGGGGAACCCCAGAACCAATGATTCCCAAGTCCCAGGGTTTTTCAACTTTGACTACTTGGTGGTGGACTTCAACTCCCAGACTTCAAGGTTGTGGTCTTCAACTGTGGGCTGGCTGGGGAATTCTGGGAGTTGAAGTCCACATCTTCAAGTGGCCAAGGTTGAAAACTCTGTCCAATCCAATGGAAGGGTTTGTTGGGTTCCCTCCTTAGAAGGTCTCTGCCTTTCTTCACCGCCCCCTGCTCAACTATCCCTTAACGTGATCCTTAGAGATTGTCCTTGAGATTGTCCCCCTCAACTTTTTCAGTTGTGATGTAGCCACCCTGTTTCCACTGCGGAAGATGGAACAGAGAAGCTTCATGCATTGCGTTAAACCATTATTGGTTGAAGAAGCCCCGTTGACCCAGAACTTAACATATACAACTTAAGCCAGGTGCCACAGAGGCCGAGTTGTTATATCATGTTCACCAAAGTCAAATAATCCACATTCAAGGTTTGGGCAGTAGAAGCCAAGAGGCAGGACAAAACGTCTGCGCCTTGCTTTGGTTCAGGAGTTATTTTGCGCCATTTTGCGAGAACACCCACAAGATACTCTCAAGAGTGCCCAAATTCTCCACCAGAGAGATTCCCTTCCCGAGTTTGGGCGAGCGAAAAGGAGGCTCTGGGAAATCTGTCCCCTCTCCAAATGGGAGGGTTGGGGTTTTACAGCATTCCTCTCTCACCATCCGGGAAAAGGAGCAGCTTTGGGTAGCAAAGCACATAGAACCAGGAAACAGCTGCTGCGTCTACCTGCAGAAGCCTCCAAGGAGCTTCCTTACACATATCTGCAGGATTGGTATTTCAAGAGGAAGGGATCTGGCACTCTGTGTGTGTGTGTGTGTGTGTGTGTGTGTGTGTGTGTGTGTGTGTGTGTGTGAGAGAGAGAGAGAGAGAGAGAGAGAGAGAGAGAAGTACTCCCCTTTTCCAGCGTAGGAAAAACATCCTTGTTGCTGCATAGCAACACACTGCAAGGAAGCTGGCCAACCAGATCAACAGTCACACGCCTCTTCCCCCTCTCTGCAATACCTGACTGCTCAAGTTTGGCTTTATCTAGGTAGATGCACATCCCTTTGACCATCTGCCTACCAGCCTTTAAAGAATCCATCTGTCCCTTCAATCTTCCGACTTAGCATAAATCACCCCTATTCCCTGGTCTCCGAGGCTGGCGAAGGGAGAAGACTTTACACCAACTCCAGAAGTGCTCTAAACATTTGGATCCCACCTGGGAGCCTGGGGCTGAAGCCTCCCTCTGCTGCAACACCTGGGCTCGCAAA